GAAAGATAAATTAAGAAAACAATTCCATTTACAATTACATTGAAAGGATAAAATACCTAGGAATACATTTAACCAAGACGGTGAAAGATCTGTTCACTGAAAACCATAAGATACAGACGAAAGAAATTGAAGAAGGTACAAATAAGTGGGAAGATATTCCATGCTCATGGGTTGAAAGAATTAATGTTACAGAACGTCCATTGTACTCAAAGATATCTACAGATTCAGTGCAATTCCCATCAAAATTCCAAAAGCAATTTTTACAGACATAGAAAAAGACTATCCCAAAATTTGTGTGGTACCACAAAAAACCAAAGCAATTCTGAGAAAGAAGAACAAAGATAGAGACATCACACTTGTGATTTGAGACTATACTACAAAGCTATAGTAATCAAACAGCATAATACTGGCATAAAACAGACATATAGACCAACGGAACAGAATGAGACCCCAGAAATAAATCCATGAATGCACGATCAATTAATGTATGGGAAAAATCCAAGAATATGCAATGAGAAAAGGATGGTCTCTTCAATAAACGGTGTTGAGAAAACCGGATAACTACATGCATAATAATAAAATTAGACCCCTATCTTACACCGCCAAGACCACTCACAAAAACTAACTTGAATGGATTAAGTATTAAGACCTTAAATCATAAAACTTCGAGAAGGAAAATAAGAGGAAAACTCCTTGACAGTGGTCTTGGCAACGATTTTTTGGATATTACACCAAAAGCACAAGCAAAATCTAGTAAGTGGAGATATGTCAAGCTAAAAAGCTTCTGCATGGCAAAAGACATAACTGACAAATGAAAGGATAGCCTACAGAATGGGAGATAATATTTGCAAGCCATATACTAGATAAGACATTAATAACTAAGATATATAAAGAACTCGTACAACTCAACAGTAGGAAAACAAACAATCCAATTTAAAAATTGGCAGCCAAACTGAATAGATATTTTTCCAAACAAGACACACAAATGGCCGACAGGTACATGAAAAGGTGCTCTACATCACTAAGCATCAGAGAAATGCAAATCAAAACCACAATGAGCTATCACTTAACACCTATTAGAATGGCTGCCATCAAAAGAACAAGAGATACGTACTGGCAAGGATGTGGAAAAAAGGAAACTTTTGTGCAATGTTGGTGGAAATATAGATTGGTACAGCCACTATGAAAAACAATATAAATGTTCCTCAAAAAAATTAAAAATGGAACTACCATATGATCCAGCAAGTCCATCCTGGGTATATATCCAAAGGAAATGAAGTCAGAATGTGGAAGAGGTATCAGAACTCCCATGGTCATTGTAACGTTAGTCATAATATCTGAGATAGGGAAACAATCTAAGTGTCCATTGATGAATAAATGGATAAAGATGTGACTATATATATATATATATATATATATGCAAATTTTATCAACCATAAAAAAAGAAGGAAATCCTGCCATTTGCAAAAACACGGATGGACCTTGTGAAATAAGTCCTAATGAAATAAGTCAGACAAAGAAAGACAAATACTGTACAATCTCATTTAAATGTGAAATCTAAAAATCTGAATTTATAGAAACAGAGATGCTTGCCAGGAGCTGGGGATGGGAAAAATGGGTAGATGTTGGTCAAAGAGCATAAACTTTCAGTTATAATATAAATACATTTTGAGGATCACAGTATGGTGATTATAGTTCACAGTACTGTGTTGTGTACTTGAAAGTTGCTAAGATAAACAACAAATTCATACTGTATAGCACAGGGAACTATATTCAATTATTTTGTAGTAACTTATGGTGAAAAAGAATACGAAAACAAATATATGTATGTTCATGTATGACTGAAGCATTGTGCTGTACATCAGAAATTGACACAACATTGTAAACTGACTATACTTCAATAATATATATATATATATATACACAAAAAAAAGAAAGTTGATGAAAGAGTAGATCTTAAATGATCTCACCACAAAAAAAAGAATTGGTATATACGTAAGATGATGGAGTTGTTAGCTAACATTACTAGGATAACCATTTTTGCAGTATATAAATGTATCAAGTCAACACATTGTATACCTTAAACATACACAATGTATGCCAATTATATCAAAATAGAGGTGGAAAAAATACCTATCTCAAACACACAATCTGTACCATGCAGTTTTTATCTTTGTAGACTAGTTGAATGTACAAAAACAAAATCGAAAAGCAGTTAAATTCATTATCATTCAGGGAAACAGTGAAATCAGATTCTATATAAGATGGAACCATCTAATAAACTGAGTTCAACTTAAATAACTACTGCAATTATGTGGACAGCTTTACGTTAGTACTTATCTGTTAGCTGTATCAAAATTGAGAAATTCCTTTGAGTAGACTGCCGGAAAACAGGAATACTGTGCATTCCCCAGACACCACCTAAGTCATGTTTCTCTACGTGAGGAGACTCATGAAACATAATCATCCAGTGTATAATCAGAAACTGGACTAATAGCAAATGATTTGAGGTCCAGCTCTCTTCTTCTAGCTTTTTGGCAATATAATTAAAACTCCTTTGTCTATGACATCCTCTGAGCCTTGCAAGCCATCAGAATTGGACCTTTTAAGTCTCCTGGGAACAGCAATTGGCATATTTTAACAAAGTTCTGATTGAGCCGTGGATAAAGTCACAGGGTTCATCTACTGCCTCTAAATAATTTGGACACCAACCAAAATGTGTCCGTGTGTGTGTGTGTACACATGTGGATGTCTCAGTGATTTTTAATAACTCCCACTGAAAATTCATCACCAGCAGCAGAATCAGGCACCTGACTTTCACTTCCTTGTCCAGTAATATTCCCTTTCCAACTTTTATATGAGTCCTGAGACTGAGGGATTTGTGCGAAGACAGGAACACAGTAAAAGATCCATGAAGATGTGATTCATTGAACCTGCCCTTTCTCTCCTGAAAGGAGAGAAAAGACACTACAATATTTATTCCTCCAAAGGCTTTATCTTCAGAAACAAAATTTTCAAGAATTAATGTCACCAGTGCTTTGTTCTGTACCCTACCTAATGGCATACAATTGGTACTTGGAGTTTCAGGATCAAAGGAATTAGGTAAAGACATTAAACTTCTAGCCAAGATTAAGCTTATGCATACTGAAATTGAGATGTTACTTTTGATTTTGTATAATTACTTTGACTTTAATATTTCTCAGTTATATTAAATGTTTCAGAGCCAAGATGATCGTCTCAGTGACAGACAAAAAAGGTAGGTGTTAGCCACTGGGAAGAGGGTTGTTGTGTTAAGAGGAATGCAGAAATGTAGTCCATTTGATGTGAGAGAAGGCATCATGCATTCATTGTGACACTGAGTTGCTTACTGGTGAGGCAACGTCAAACTAAGGTCAAAGTAAGTTGGATTTTCAGAGCTCCTTTCTGCCAAATTCTTATTTTCAAACTTTATCAAATGTTATTGTTATGTAAAATTAAATCATACATACATATATACATGTGTGTTTTTATGTTTACACACACATATATATATGATCAAAGGTTAAAAATAAAGACATTGTTTCTTCCATTCTATTTCCATCTCTTCCTTCCCTTCAGCCAAAACTAGAGTCATAATATATCCCATATGACTACAGAATTTTAATGATATTTCATTCAATTGAAAAAAACTCCCCTCCAAAATAATATATTCCATATGAAAGCCAAGTATAACATTAACACTTACTAAAAGATGGTGGTAAAATTAAACAAGTCAATTTTTACCTCTTCACATGTAGTAAAGCTCTCAAAAAACAGTGTTTTTTGTTACTGCTGAAAATCATAGCATCTCAGATCAAATCGCTCATCCCACCAAAATCTACTTCTCTTCTCATAAC